AACAGACTATACTTTCTTTCTTCTACCAAATTAGGATTATCATATTCTACGTACAGTTTATGTGACCATACGTCCCATTTTGAACGGGACAGTCCCGTTTTTTGGTAGCCTGTCCCGTTGTCCCCAAGCACAGCGTCGGGACACCCAAATGTCCCGTTTTCAGAAAGAAAGCAACCACGATAACAATTTCAAACAAGAAGTCTCCAAAAATTTAAAAAATCGACGGTACTATCATGACGGAGCATGCACTATATGTTTCACACATATGTAAGTTGGTCAGAAGCCTCTTTTCTCGCACATAGTTATAATTTCGTTTCTTCGCTTAAAGTGACAGAATGAAACACTGGGACTATTTAAACCGAAAGTCGTTGGGTGGAACTGCTCAAACACTTTCCCGCCTGTAATTTAAATCATACGAACTTTCGTATAGTTATTGAATATATTCTATGTCTGACGGGCACTAATGCACCCGTGGAAAGGGTCTTTTTTATGAATAAGTTGCGGACGAGCTAGAAAACACAGTTACAATCCGCAGTTTATAAAATAACGTTAATTACCAAAGTAAATTTTAAGAAATCCTGCCAAGAATTTCATTCCTTTTTTTTAAATCTACACCAAATACACTGAAGAAAAAATGTGTTCTTCAGAAAAATGCAAGATCACAGGAATAATTTATTTTCACGTGCTTATTCCTGTTCTTTTCATTAATACATAAAAACTGAAGAAATACGTGTTTTCTTGAATTCACATAATATTACCTAAAAATTAAAAAAAAAATTCCCGTTCTGAGGGGGAAAATAAATGGTCTCTTTTCGTATAGAAAATGCTAGGGAGTTAATTTACTTATTTTAAAATTAGCTTTTTTTGATAAAAAAAACAAACCAAATAAACTTTTTTAGTACAATTACTAATTACTTATAGCAGAATTTAACAAATCAGTATTCAAAATTCGGCAATGTACCGACAATTCGGGACATCTGCTAGTTTTTATTTTAGATTTTTCCTTACGGCATTTATATGGGGCTGATAATATAATATAATATAATATAATACAGGTTGAGGCAACGTAATAGATTGTGTTTAATATA